ACCCTAGGGCATACCTAGGCTATATAGCTAGGGTATACGTAGGGTATACCCTACCCTAGGGTATAACCTAGGAGAAACCTAGAGGGGAGGGCAAGCAGAGGCAGGAAGGCAGGAAGGAAGGATGCAAGGATGGGAGGAATGAGGGGAACAGGGGAGGAGAGGAGGAGGGATGGAGGGAGGGGAGGGAAAGAAGGGACAAAGGAAAAGGGAGGAGGAGAGCAGGGATTGAAGGGTGTGGAGGGAGAAGAGAAGAGAGAGCAGGTGGGGGAAGGTTCAAGTCGTCACGTCGTTTCCGCTGGGCCTCGAGTTTGAGAGGAGATTCTGTTCAGAACACTATTGTAACACTCCAATCCAACATCCAGAGGATCTTTCTTCACCAGGCAGATTCCAGGCATGGCCTCAATGTTTGCCCGAAAGTCAACGAAAGGCTTTCGCGGAGGGATTGACGGGGGGGCCGGGAGCGGAGTGATAAAGAGAGAACAGGGGAGTTCATCTTGTGATGCGCTCCTCGGTATTGGCAGGGGGCTTACTTTGGATGAGGCTCGGGATATGTCAGGGTGTGCAGACAAGCCCAAATAATCATTGCCAGAAAACAGCTTGACCCTATGCAATCGCCGTTTCCGCGGCTTATTACACGATCCCCCTGCTGATGAAGCATGCGATACGGCCTCGGGCAAGTCCTCTTGGCCTGCAAGAAGAACATGTCCTCGGTGTTAATTGTTTGCCAAGGTTGTGATCCTTTATGGGTTGATCCCTATAACCTCAGTGGGTTTAGTGTGTAATAACTTCAATCCTCAAAAATGGAAATTGATTATTGATGTACTACACATATTAAGAGTAGCGAGAGGATGAGATAGGGCCTCGCTGCACGACTATCCACATGGCATTGCACAAAAGACAAAAAATATGGCGGTGCATCTTTCCATGTTCTAGCGGAAGATTCATTCTCATTTTTTGCACATTTGGAGAATAGTGCAGCGAAGCCCATAGAAATGAGGCAAAAATATACAAAAAAGATTGAGAGAAGAATATAGATTAGTTATAAAAAAAAAAAAAGGATTGACTTAGTAAATTAAATGGCGATGACAACATAAGACTTGGCTCTTGAGGCCGAGGTCGCCGGTTCGAATCCGCGCTTGAACGGAGGAGGGCTTATTAGGCCCAGATGTACGGAGATACATAACTACTACAGCATAAGCAATATCAACACAGATGAAACACAACCATCACTGCCTGGTCAGTCCCATAACTGCTTGGTTACTACGGTCTTCACCCGAATAGAACGTACTGACTGTCATTTTCCCTGCATCTGGACCGATTATTGGGCACCATACGGATAATATCATGACCATACGTTCTATTCGGGCGACGACTGTTCCATCACTGCTTGGTTACTCCCATGCCTGCTCCAAGACTCCCGTACCTGAAAAATCGATGGATGGTGTACAGAGCCCTGAATTTTCCAGGGTTTTTACATCATGGTCGGTGTAACAAAACTCCCACTGTGACACACCTTTTGAAATTTGCACCCAACTTGTCGCCACCCCATAGAGTGGACAACAAATAAACCAACAGCAAAAAAAAAGTTAAGAAAAAAAACCGACAAAGGAGCTTCAGACCCTTCTAACCCTAACTTAAAGGCAAAATTTAATGTGTTTTCAAACTTTTCATGCAACATTCACCTTTTGGCATTTGCAGCTTTTTCAGGACTTAAAGTTTCAGGAATTTCTGGGCTTGCCAAAAAAAACAGTAATCTCCAAGACCCCAACAAAGACCAAACTTGGCACACACAGACCTTGACCAGGGGCCAAGTCCCACTTAATACCTGAATTCTCAATTCCCAACCTTCGATTAGCAAGATCAAGATCGACGGCCAGAAATGAATGAAGAATCAGCGTAAGTGGACTTGGCCGCAGGTAGGAACCTGCACTCTTGACCTGAAATGCAAACTGCCCTACCCTGAACGTGTACAACTTGTCACCAAACCATAGAGGAGGTGGAGAGCAGAAAACGAGGGCTAAGCTTACCAACAAAAAAAAAACTAAGTTTACCCCCCCCCCCCCCCCCCCCCCCCCCCCCCAAAAAAAAAAAAAAAAAAAAAAAAAAAAAGAACAAAAAAAAAAACGACAACAACAACAACAACAACAAGGGTTAAGCTTACCAACACTTGGGGTGTTGTTGAGCCAAGCCTCCCGAGTTGTGTCTGTGATTTGAACCGTCACTGGTGAGGGATTGGCACTCAGGCTGCTGGAGGATGTCAGCAGCATCCTGTCAGTGTTCATGACCAGGTGAGAAGAATCGTATGCCTGGCGTGTCTCGTCCTCCCCAACATTTTCCTTTCGGTGAGTGCTGCTGGAGGCACAGCCTTCTGATCCGCGTGACCTGTGACTGTGCGGCACTTGGCGTTGTTCGGATGCTGATTGCCCTGACCGAAGAACCCCATCGGGGTGTCCGAAGATACTCTCAGCCTTCCGCATTGGGAGGCCTGGGCATCTTCTTGATGATGTCTCCACCTCCTCCTCCTCATCATAATGGCTTAACACCTGTGAAGCAACTCTGACTGGTCGCAGGGAGCGCAGCAGGGAATCTTTCTCAAGCTCTGAAATCGCATCATTGAGCCAGCTGACCCATTCCGAGTGCGGCTTATTCCCCTGGTCATCGTACGGAGCCATGATGCTCCGTCTTTTCGCCCTTCCTTCCTTCCTTCCTTCCTCTACCTCCTCAACGGTTCATTGAACTTCCTTCTCAATCGTGGGATAATCATCGACACAGACGGGAAATAGGCCAAGTTCATTTCTGGTGAATAACCTGCAGAAGCCACCAGTAAAAAAACGAAAAAGGAACAAGTATGCAACAGCGACAGTAAAAAGCAGAGAAGGTGGGATCACCTGCAGAAGAAGAAATGTGAGCCCACAGATCATGGCCGACCGGTCGGCTTTGGACTCGACAACCGGTCGACCAGTCGGCTTCGGACCTGACCACCGGTCGAGCACTTGCCCAGAGATCATGGCCGACCGGTAGGCTTTGAACCCGACATCCGCTCGACGGCTAGTCGGCTGGCCTAGAGATCATAGCGGACCGGTCGGCTTTGGACACAACAACTGGTCGACCAGTCCACTGGCCCAGAGAGATCATGGCCTACCCATCGGCTTCGGACCTGACAACCGGCCGACCAGTCGACTGGCCCACAGATTATGGCCGACCGGTGGCCTTTGGACCCGACAACCGGTCAACCATTCGGCTGGCCCACAGATCTGGCCGATCGGTCGGCTTTGGACCCTACAATGGCCCAGAGATCATGGCCGACCTGTCGACCGGTCCAGCGGCCCAGATATCATGGCCAACCGCTCGGCTTTTGACCTGACAACCGGTCAGTCGGTTGGCCCAGAGATCATGGCCGACGGGTCGGCTCTGGACCCAACAACCGCCCGGCTGCCCAGAGATCATGGCCGACGGGTCGGCTCTAGACCCAATCAAGTCCGACAGGCCGGCTGTGGACCTGACACCCCGTCAACCAGTCGACTGGCCCAGAGATCATGGCCGACCGGTCGGCTCTGGACGCCACAAGAGGTCGACGAGTCGGCTTGCACCAGTCGGGGAGGCATGGGCACCCCTGCAACAGCCAAGTAATTTTGGGGGGGGGGTAATTTCGGCGCAGTCATGAAGACAGTTTGAAAATGCACTTCAGGCAATCGCGCGACCACAACACACCCCCACGTGACCCCACCTGACCCGAAACCTAGGTTATATACATTCACCATAGTTTACCGGCCCTTTTGCCTCTTTGACAAGTAACAGGGGATTCGTGAAAACCTCACAATCGGAGAAAACCTAACATTTCTTATAGAATGAAAAAGTAAAAGTCAGACTGTTATTTTTTACAAAAAAAAGAGCGTTTTTAATCGTTTTGCGATAAAGGAGGCAAAAAATCAGGTGAAAAGTCTAGCGTTCCTCACAATGTGCAAGAAAACCATTCCTTGCACAATGCTTTTATACGACTATAAGTCATTCTCAGTAGATTGGCAAAAAAACAGAATTCAAACAGGGTAATTTTTAAGGATGATAAGGCAAATGTGAGGATTGAGCCCTCAAGTAGGGGCCTTGCCATGATGTACATGTTCTGGGCTAAGGCCCCAGCAAGCCTCGTGCCCGCCCTAAGTGAAGGCGGGCCAGCAAATCAACAAGAGCCCTCTGTGCCAACATTTCACGAAGTGGGGTCCATACAGTTGCAGCACGCCAGTTGGTTGGAGTTCACCGAGTCTCGGATCTCAGCAAATGCTGAAATGCCCAGGGCCTCTGAGTTAGTTAGGTCCTGGGCACTCGAATGTGAGGACGACAATGCATGCTGGGTATAGAGGCCAAAAATGCCAAAGGGAAATCGGCCCACTGTCTGAATCTGGCCGCCGGCCTTGATGAAGGAGGCACAACTGCATTGCCCCGGGGCCCAACTGTATCGGGCTGAGTTCAGCCTCTGGGTCCCGATCACAGGCTGAAGGGAGGCCGCCCACACGCTGCACTGGGATATAGGCAAGCAGGGCGACTGGGCAGGGATCTTGGCCATTGCGGGCAATGTCGGCACGCTGCGCTAATGCGAGCTGCTGCTGCTGCTGCGCTGCACTAAGAAAAGTGCAAGGCAGGCCAACGCTAGGCGGTAGGGCGCTGCCTGTGCACTGGGCGCTTGGCGGCCATAGCCGGGCTGCAAAAGAGGGCGCAGGGGAGGTGAGGGCGAAGGTGGTACTTCGGAGGTGAAGGGCGCTGTGTGGGTAACAAGGGAGAGTGTGGGGAAGAGGACACGTACCTGGTGAAGGTGGAGGTCGGCATTGGTGTTGACATCATCACTCGCTGGTAGTCAAGTTGTGTGGTTGCTTTTCATTGCTGTAGTTGTAGGATAGGCTATAGAGTAGATAGGGCGTCTGGCGCCATTCACAAGAGAGAGCTACATTTGGGTTATGCTGTTGGTGTTGCCCTGTTGGGCATGGACATTGACTCACGATTCTTCTGTATCATTCTCAATTGGATGGTTACTCGGTTCCATGTGCTATCTGCTTTGGCTTTGACTACTTGAACTTCAGTGTGATTCTGCATTATGGATTTCTCTGCTTCGTCCATATTCATGTTCCTTGCCAAGCTCTGCACAAAATAATTTATAGGACTATAAATCACTTTTGAACTTAACAATAAAACCCTTATCAAAAAATATATGTCATTTAAAATAAGAATACAAACAACTGTTGCCTCGGAGACACCGTGAAATTCTTAGCCAAACACGAGTTTAAAATAAAAATAGGGAAAAAAATTAAAACAAACAATAAACAATAATATATTCGCCAATGTATGGGAAACCATGTTCAAGCGAACGTATTCACGAACAGGAGAATATGTTTGCGCGTTCGGAAAACCCCTGAATAAATTCATCGTGCTACACATCTTATAGGACTATAAACACAATTTTTTTGGATAACAAAAAATCAGGAAATTTCAGTTCTTGAACCTACGGTGCTTCACCAGGTCGTGATTTTCTATGAAAAACCCGCTTTTTTCCTCGCCCCCTCCGGTAGTTCTGAAAAATTAATTTTCTGTTCTTTTTTTTGCGGATGTTTCACTTCACGTAGAATTTTGTTCCTGGAGGAGACCTGAAAAATGTACTATCATAATCTTGAATAGATTTCGTGCAAACCTAACAATTTGTTTTGTTAGGTTTTCACGAATCCTATGTTAAGTGCATTTTCAATCTCAAAGTTACCCTGACTGCGCCGTAGTTTTCTCTTTTTTTTCTCTTCTTTTTTCAATGACACATTCTTCCTTTACAAAACTGTTCCGGATGGCTTGAAACTCTGCTTCCGTAGCGCCCTCACCTGCCCAATTCATTCAGCTGTCTATTTATTGCTCGAGTTGCTGCTGATAAATAAGGGCCTCGCCACACCAATGTCGAAAACTGCATTTTCGACATTTTCTCCTCGCCACACAGCATGTCGAAATCTGAGATGCTATAGTTGATTTAGCAGTGCTTACAATAGTGTTAGTATGGTTTTGTGATAGGATTGTAATTAGGCGGAATAGGCCCGCAGTTTTGATATAGGATTGTAGTTAGGCGGAATAGGCCCACAGTTTTGATATAGGATTGTAGTTAGCCGGAATAGAACCACCCCACACAGGTTATCAGTTGACTCCCTATAGGATTTTGTTAGCTAGATAGATTTATAGAACCCTCTGTAGGACTAGATAGAGTAGGCTGTAGCTCTAGAAACTACGCAGCCAACGAGCTGCTGGGTCTGTAGGAAAGACCTGCAGGCTTTTAGCCTGTAATCTAAGCTGGATGATGCTTCCAGATATCTGATCTGAACCGGGAAGTAATGTAGAGGACCCGGGACCTCTGAATGATTTTGTGTAATTGAAACTGAATTTTGAGGGGGGGAAAAAAAAAAAATCCGAGATGCAAAAAAAATTCAGGAGCTGTCAGGGAAAGGGTTTCGACACCTCCTGTCGAGAAGGGCTCGTTTCCACTTCAGGCCTGCAACTTGGACATTTTCAACAGTCCTCCCATGGGATGTCGAATTCTTGCCCGAATGTCGAAAAAGAGAACGCACCAACGCTTGTCCTATCTTCACCCAGTTTGTCTCTTTTGTGCATAGGACTCGTGAGTTCTTCACTTCACCATGCTGTGTGGCGAAGAGGGTTTTTCTGTAGAAAGAGGGAATGTCGAGAATTTCCTGACATATGTCGAATGTCGTGATGTTTCGACATCAGTGTGGCCAGGCCCTAAATGGTAGGTAGATAGGGAACGGTGAAATTCAGAGAAGAATATAGCTTAGTTCTAATAATAAGACAAGGTGTATATTAAAAAAAAAAAAAAAAAAAAAAAAAAAAAAAAAAAA